GGCTACTAAATCGAAGTGCAGCATGTTTGCCTTTTTCTTGCCGTGTTCAGTTTTTCAGGTCCTTTATACTATCAGAATTTGACTATGCATCTGCTGCCTATGCCCCTTTCTTATCGTCTTATCAGGATAAGCGCCTAAATAGTTTGTTCAAACGTGCGGCTCGCTCGGTGTGCAGGGCAGCCCCTCGCACTCACACGGCTCCCTTACTTGAACGCATGAATGCCCATACCCTCAGCATATACACCCACATGCACATCCTTGTATTCATTTGGCGCTGCCTGAACAAATCTTCAAGTACTCTGTTTGCAAGCTTTTTCACCCGTAGTCCCTCTCTCCGAACACGAGGAGGGAACAGCAAGTTACTCATCATTCCTGTCTCCCCCACTGCATCCTCAGCTAAGCGCATTAGCCATGCTGGAGCTATCCTGTGGAACCAGCTCCCAGACACAGCACGCCTCGAAAGAAAGCGCTCCACTTTCAAATCGCTAAGCCTGGCCTTTCTGTTAGGCAGTACCGTCAACTAGGATGAACTCATCTGCTTCACTACCTCTCTCTCTCTCTCTCTCTCTCTCTCTCTCTCTCTCTCTCTCTCTCTCTCTCTCTCTCTCTCTCTCACTCACTCCTTTCTTCCCGGTTGCCGTGCTTGTGACTTTTTTTCCCCTGCTGCCGTGCTCATATTAGTTATCTAACTACAGCTGTATCTTCTTCTTGGTTCTGTTTGTCCGCTTATTATTATATTTTCTTTTCTCTTATTATCAGTGGGACCATTGTCATTAGGTTTAGGCCTGTTTTGGAACTCCACTTTAAATAAAGCCAAACAACTCTCTCTCTCTCTCTCTCTCTCTCTCTCCCTACCTACCTCTCTCTCTCTCTCTCTCTCTCTCTCTCTCTCTCTCTCTCTCTCTCTCTCTCTCTCTCTCTCTCTCCTATATGGGTATTAAGCAGTCTTCGGACAGTGGAACTCGGTACTTGATGACGTGTACTTACAAGTATCAACATTTTGCGTTTGTGGAGTCTCCACTAAATACAAGGAGAAGACAAAAAAAGGAGACGGTTCCAGAATGGTAGCCCAGGTAGCTAGGACAAGCGCTAAATCATCGTGTAGCTATCCCACATGGGTTAGTACTTACTGTACAGTCAGACCTGTAACTAAAGACCACCGTGACTAGCGACCAGCCTGGTACTACAGACCACTTTGCCTGGCACGGACGGTCTCACACTCATAATTATGTCATTGTGTATAGAAGAGGTTGGTACGACTTCAGCCATACTTAGGGAATTGTGTTGCTCCCTACGTGGGAGCTTGCGCTATTCTTGCCGACTTGACTTCTAACTTGACTGACTCACGACTGCCATCCAGAGCACACGAGAAGTCCATCGAACCTTCCACTCGGCAACCCTTCAAGAAAGCACCATTCCCTGCTCAATACACAGTGTTTCGGGGAATGCACCCCTCATCAGTTGAGCTAGAGTAGGCTGAGGAAGATTGTGCCTGAAGAGCACCACTTATATAGTGTTCTCCAGGCACAAACATCCCCAGGGCTACAAACTTGCGGAGACGTTCCGTTTCCAGCGCGATAAACACCTCGTGAACACCAGATAGCAGCGTGAGACAGCGATACTTGGGGAATTGCGGGGGTCTTGTCTCACTCAAATACTGCTCACAGTCCACTCAAATACTGCTCACAGTCCACTCAAATACTGCTCACAGTCCACTCAAATACTGCTCACAGTCATAGTGGTAGTACAAGAGCTATAATGTAGCTACAAGGACGACTAGTTGCACTGTAAGCATTTCCTAAATGTCTACATGTAGGTGTAAAATGTTAGACGATGATCGCAAGGCACACAACCAAAGTCAAAGAGCGGATTTGTTCAGAACTGTTTTATTGTTACATTCATCATTGAATCTACATAAGAATGGAATGGGGGACTACTCGAAACTAGTCTTGTACGGACAAATAAAAGTGAAAGAAGGGGAAAAAGAGTGAAACAAACAGGTGATTGTACTACATGTATTCAGCGAGGAAGATTTCAGCAGGTAACCACATACATGATGTGTGAATCGTCAGCATGAGCAAAACAAAGCAAAACCTGAAGAGACAGGACCCTTTCTTTGTGTGCCTTGCGATCTTCGTATAACATGTTACACATACATGTCGACATTTAGGAATTGTTTACGGGCAATTAGTCATCCTTGTGCCTATATTAAAACTGCAGTATTCAAAACGCTTGTCTACTATAATGTGTTCTAGGAATGTCGCCCCTTATAGCCAAAAACAAGTTAGGAGCTTCAGATTTGGGTTTCATGATTTTACTCTTGCGTGGATGTGCCCTCAACAATCCCTATACTTAATTTCCTTTTAAAGAGTAATTCAACTAGTCTCACCTTCTCTATCAATACAGATGTAACCATCCGCCCGGGGTGTAGGCTTGGGTGTGTAGGTGTAGTTGGTTTTCTTTACGTGTAACTGAATAGGAGCAGTTCGGCTGGAATTGATAGCATAACTCCCGACAACTTTCTGCGTGAAGAGATTGTACCGTAAGTACGAACCATTTCCCATTAACCAAACCTCCTCGTGTCTCTGGCCGATTAGATTCTCGATAGCATCCTGGACCCAGAAGAGTGCAATCCGCATAGAAATACATTCATCAACAGACATATCTTAACCGTGCACACTCCATGTATACAGAGAATTGCATCTCCTAAATTTTAACCTTTAATTAATTGGAGGCAGCATTTGTTTGCCTTGGAAAGTCAGCATCATCTTGGGCATCCTGGAAAGCACGTGACTAGTAGTGGAACCATAACAACGCAACCGCAATCCCATTTCATGCGCTCTACCAGCACTGCACCAGCGAAGCCGTTCCAGACTTTCAGTATGCGGCTTGCGCGCTCGATCGATCTCCCTCTGCTATTTCACTCTCTCCTTGCTCGTATGAAGCTCAATTGTCTTGTAGTCACTCACTGAAGTCTATGTTAGAATTTGAAAGAGTGCATCCTTGCAAAAAAATGACATGTGCAGGGAAAATAAATCCCAGCCGTTGAATCATGGATCGCACCCAAAGCGGCAATTGGCTGTGACGTATGTTACGACCGTCATAACCCAAAACCCGCTCATCACACCTTGCCTCAAGAACCGCTCATCACACCTTATTGCCTCAAGAAGACAGAGGAGAGCTTTCTCTTCGATCTACATGTTTCATTTTGACCAAGTCACGATAATTATATCGAAAAAGTTCAATCAATCGAACACCCGTGTTCGATAGATGTATGGTCGAACAGTAAAGGGTTTGTTAGGTACCTCCCCCCATACGTTCTACAACCTTATCCAAGCTGGCCTGCATGCAGGCAGGTGGATAAGGTTGTAGAACGTACGGGAGGAGGTACCCCTAACAGGTTGATAACTACTCAGTGTGGGACATTGTGAGCTCTTCAGAGCCGCTCATCATACAATAGGTCCAGTGGAGGAATCAATATCAAGGGTGAATGGTGATCCCTAGTCACTCCTACCAATAGGCTTCTTCTAACTGCAAATCAATTCTCTCTCTCTTCCTCTTTCTCACTCACTCTCTCTCTCTCTCTCTCTCTCTCTCTCTCTCTCTCTCCCTCTGTCTCTCCCACTTTGAAATTCGCTTCCATAGAATTGGGCATCATTTCCCATTTGGCCTTGCGAAGTAAAATGAAAGTCAACAACAACTTGGGAAAAGACACCACTGCAGCTATACTAATGGTTGATTAATATAGTGGAAACACACACAAGTGGCAATAGGACGGTAAATACACGCCTGCCCACACACCCATCGACCAGGCGCCAGACGCGAACTGATGGTGGTGAGAAGTAGAGCTCTGTGCCAGAATAACTTTGCAGCCTAGAGAGCGTGAGTGGGCAGGTGTGTATTTACCGCCATATTGCCAGGTGTGTGTTTACCACCATATTAACCATAACAACAACAATTCCTCCGATTTGTTGTTGCTGTTCGTCGGATTGTGACAGTGTGTAGCTGCTCTTGTTTTTCTGGATTACTGTTGCGTTTTCTATTGTTTTCCTTTTTTCTATTTATTTTCATTCATGCACACTTCACATCTTTTCAAAGCACTCATCTAGGGATTGAGTTGAATCTTTTACACAACCTTGTTACATTTGCCTTTAGTTTCATTGGATTAAGCCTAGTTCAGATGCGATGCGACGCAACGCTGACGGTACGGGACGTAAGGGCCTGTCGGGAAGGCTGGGGTGAGCTGTAATTAAAATCCTGTACGAGGTGAATTGCTATTTCTGGACATTGTACATTTCTGGACATTTCGAGTAAAATAATTTTTCGTCGCGTGTAGAGTCAAGTCAGTCAGGTTGATGAAGTTTTTTCTTGCCGTAGTTGACAGCTGGGTTGTTGTAGTTTCTCCTCGTGTCGATGCCTTGTTGATAGCCTTTGCTTGTGAGGCATTTCAACGAGTTTTGTGGTACTATGTCGCATGAGAATTTTGAATTTTGAGTAAAATAAAAAGTAATGGACGAATCGTTGGCTTCCCCATGTGCACTCCACTTCAGACGCTGTATAGTCTTGGACCTGTTGGCTGGAAGTGTGAAGAGGCCAACTGCAGTCCAGCAATAGAAAAAATAACAAAAATGGTGCAGTATAGGATGCCTTTTGACGCTATTTTACTCTCATGTCCAGAATTCCATACACTGAAATTTAGGCCAAAAAATTGGCCTGTCGAAAACGTCCTGCTATAAAGTCTCTGGGATCACAGCATGAGCAATTGTCACATATTTGAAAAGATGAAGGATTAGGCCATACAATAGATACAAAAAGATATGAAAAATGTAAAAACACACAGCCTGTGGGGCTCTATTTTATTTTCATGTCCAGAAATTGCTATTCACCTCGTACGATTTGTACGACACGACATGCAGCAGTCGTTGCGATGTTCAACGTCGAACGGCGCGAGACATAATGCACACCCGTGAGGGGGTGACTTTCGGCCCTAATTTCTCGTTTTTTGTACGCTTGCGTCTCCGTCTACGCCCGTCTACGGTATGAAAAGTTGGATCGATCCAACTCTTCCCGTCGCTTCCCAATCTGTATGGTAGTACGGTTGAATTCCCGTTCCTGATGTTCTCATTGGATGCCGTCAGACCTTTCCGTCGCTTCCCGTCGATCCTTACGTCGTGTCCCGTCACGCCCCGTCGAATGTGAACTAGGCTTTAGACTTTTTTCAAATTTTCATTTTGATTTCATCGTCGAGTTTCATCCCTTCTATCTTTGGTTTTCTTCCTTCTTTCCATGTCGTATTGTTTGAATAAACCCATTTCGGGAGATTTGTAGAGTGAAAAAAATTACAACAACACTCGTCGAGGAGACAGTAAGCGTAAAATGGCAATGAATAACTCAAAATGTGCAGTCATAATAATGCAAAAGATAAATTTATTGATTTCCAAAGCGTTTTCGGGTGACACTCATCAGTGGAAAGTCGTCACTAAATTCAAAATAACCAAAACTAACCTAAAAACAGCAACAAGTCACAGCCAACCAAAAGCACAATGTAGCTAGTGAAAGGTAGTGATAAGTGGATATGAGAGTGTAGGAAATGTGGGGATGTGTGGATGGATACGGTGCGGTGAGTGCGTGCTATTTGAAGAGTGTGAGAGCTATTACATTTTATTTGACGATTTCTGATTCAGTGTTATTCGGTGTGTAAATCGATTCAGGCAGTTGCAGATGTAAAAAGCTGTCTAAATACGTCTACGTGATCCTGTTCTGTGTAAGAAGAAGTAAAATGTAATAGCTCTCACACTCTTCAAATAGCACGCACTTAGCTACTTGACGATTCCTGGTTCGGTTCTAGGTCAGTACGCCGTAAACCATTTTGATGAGTGACATTTCATTGTCGTCGACTGGTCGAAAACCGCGTCGATGCTTGAACAATTCTCGACAGGCACACTTCGCTGAATTGCTGTTTAGGCGAGAAGAGTGTCTTTTCAACTACAGAACATTTCGCCGAATTCTTGTCTCCTACACACCTGGTGCCAAAATACATACATGTAGTGAAAATAATAATAATAATAATAACTTTATTAGGATGACCCAAAGGCTGACCGCCTATCGTGGGGTCCGTCGCATTGAAGGATGATGGTACAAGAGAGTACAGATTGGGAAGGGGGGGGGGGTGTTATACTGGCCTTCAGAATATCAAAATACCTTAATACATTAGGAATGCCTTCCCGCCGTATGTCTACGTTTTCATTTACATTACATTCTCAGTACCACCAGTGCGCCCAAGTTAGCTGATGTGGGCGGAACATAGTTGGCTCCATTTCTTGTAAACTTTTGGTCCTCTTTTTGGTCCTCTTTTTAACAACCATAGCCTTTGTTTGGGTTGGAACCGGAAGGATTTTTTCCAGCCGTGCTGCGACCCACAGTTAATTGGAAACTCGTGGCCTGGCACGAGGGAAAGATGGACGCAGTGAATGGAATTTTCGGTCTTTGACCACCTTGCGGTGGGTCTGATCTACTCACATCCCACCGCCTAGGAGCTGCATCTGCGCCTTGATCCAAGAGGGTGGTGGCATTCCTGCGGATGCGGAAAACTGGGCCTTTGGCCGAGTCTCACGTGAACCGTGATTTTGTTTTTTGTTCTGGACATCCATTCCTGAAGATGGGCCTGGCGAGAAAATTTGGACAGAACAATGAATTGAAGAATTGTCGCCGAGAGACCGTTTGTGGTAGTGGTGTACAATCGTTTTAGCAATACAATAAAATCAAAATCTCATAATTCAAAGATATTGGCAAACTTACGCCATAGCACTGAGGGTTACTTTTAAGTTCTTCCAATGTCAAAAGAGACTGGTCAGGGCCGCAACGTGAAAGAGCTTCGTCTCCTCTTGCAGTTTCTATCTTGAGTGTGATGTTCCGTCCATTGCACAAGAAAGATTCTTGGGCTGTTTGACAAAAGAAATGACAAAGTCAGTAAGTTATAATACTTCAGTAAACAATCGGCGAGGAGACAACAGTTTTAATAAGGCAACAAGGAAGACGAGAGCTGAAGTGACCGATTGGATTAATTGGTTGTTGCTGTTTGCTTACTTAGAGTCGAAGAACAAACAGGAAAATTTGCCTACTTTATTTAACAATAGAAGAAAAACACATGGCAACGAGTTATTCAGCAACTGTACACGACTGTAACACGATAATGAGCTGTCGGAAAGTGCGACTTATACTTCACTTTAAGAAATTATTCTCGCCGATCTTTTTAACACTTCCGGTCAAGATAATGTTCCTGTCTGACTAAGATAGATATCCTGAACCATGTACTGAAGTCATGGTTTCATTTTCGTAGTGTCGTCTTGAATGTTGTGCTCCTTAGACATTGTTTATCGCTTGACATTGTTTTCTACTAAGTAATAAAGTAATCCAATGGCACTTCAGC